GTATTCCAGTAGGATTTATGAAGGAAGAGCCCAACACAGACCCTTAATTATTGACTGATGATTCCTGATTATTTTGCCCTCAATGACAGCTGTGAACTCTGTGGTGCCCTCAGCACTCCCAACCAACTGGGTATGGAAGGGACCAGGTGATCCAGGACTCATGTTCTACCTCATCCCACTCTACACAAAATGCCCCAACCCCACATACCACTGATGGCAGTTCTGTGACACTCTGGGGCACTTTGCTGTCCTATCAGTTCACCATAGACTCCCTCGAATTCAACTTGAAGGCTAAAGCAATAAAGTGTTGACTCCTTTAGTTTTCCAATTTGGAATACTGTATTGTGTGTCTCTTGTTCCTGTTTAAAAGACAAAAAAAAAAAAAAAAAAGGTGTTACTGTAAAACCAGCCTTGTTCCCAACACAAATATCCCTCCCCCATTTAAGTTTCCCATTCAAAAAACCCAGATTTATTTTTTTTTTCCCATCACTCAGCTTTCCCACAGAAGAGAGGCAGTGAAATATATTCCAGCTTTCCTGAATGTTTTGATGCAGTAGCTCAGGCAAAGAGCAAAATATAGGGGGGGCAGGGAAAAATTAAAGCCTGAGTAGAGCCTTCCCCATTTCTTTCCTGCCTCTCAAATGAAGGTATTGGGTGAGTGTCAGAAAAACACATATTTGGTGCAAGACAGGAAGGAAAGGGAGGTGACTTACCAAGGCCTCTGAAGCAAAAGGGTTTTTTAAATGTAATTATTTTTCTTAAATAAATTAATATTTTTCTGCTTCTGTTTTTTAAATATTTGACTTTAGATTTATGTAATTTGGAAGTTTCTTCCTCCTTTTTTTTTAACTTAATACCTCCCCTGCAACACTGGCCTGTGCACAACACAATTCCCAAGGCCCCAGGCAGCAGCAGGAGCACGGGACAGGACCAACACCAAGTCTCAGGATGAACAGGGCCAGCTCATCCCAGCTCATCCCAGCATGATTCCAACAACCTTCTCTGCCCTGGGAACAGGCACATCAGGCCCCAGCAGCTGCTCCTGCAGCTCCCAGCACAGGAAAGGAGGAAGGAGATTCCAGTTTTCCACATTCCCTAAGCAAACCCTGGAATCAAAAGGCACCTTTGGCACAGATTCTCTGCCCTGATCTGCAATGGGATTTAGCCTTTGTTCCACATGGAGGAGAGGAAGATGGGTTTTTAAGTTTGGCAATGCAGCAGGACTTGTGTCAAGGCAACATTAACCTCCCAAGACTCCCCGTGGTGACATTCACGGGTAGAGACAAAACACAGTCGTTTTCTTCCTCCAGTTGTTGTTCTGCCAAGAGCCACTGACTCACATCCCAGCCTCCAAGGCACGAGGAACAAAGGAAATAAGAGAGAATTCTCACCTTTTTCGTGGTCCTTGTTGTGTTCTCCCAGTAGAACACACGATACTGGAAACTGTCCCCAGGTTCAGGTGTGAAAGGGGGGGTGACACTGAGGAGCAGCGAGTCAGAGCTGGCACTCACCCTGCTCACCCTGGGGGGGCCCAGAGTGGCTGGAAACAAACACAGAGAGAGCAGTGAAGCCCTGGGATGCACAACAGCTCATGGACTGGCTCCAGCTCCACAGAATCCCTGGGGCTGGAAAAGCCCTCCCAGCCCATGGATCCCCCCTGTGCCCACCTTGTCCCCCAGCCCAGAGCACTGAGT